TCAAAAAAAAAATCAAACTCATCATAAAACCCGTGAAAATTCTTGAAGAAATCCTTCTGTGTTCATTTGACTCAAATAATTTGTTGTTCAGAAAATCTTTGTTTTTTCCAATTTATTTTTATATATATATTATATTTCATATCAAATATATATATATATATATATAAATATATATTTATATTATATTTTATTTAATATATAAATATTCATCCTTCTTATATTAAATGGTGTGTATCTTTATCTCGTTTTCAATATTAAATTAAAAAAGTCTCAGAAAATTTTTATGAATTCATATCATTTTTTAATTTTATTTTAAAAAATTTATATTTTAATTTCATTTCAATTTGAATCTTTATAAGCATTCAAATGTAATATCTAAACATTATATATATATATATATATATATATATATATAAGCATGTCTTTACATATATATATCCATATATACAAAATATATAATATATATAAATTGTTATATATTTAAATATATATATCATATATCATTTTGTATATATATTTAAAAAAATATTTATATGAACACAAAAATGAAATATATAAATAAATATTAGAAATGTAATAATACAATTGGTAATACGGTTATTATAATTTATATATATGCGGTTATATATGTTTCAATAATATTTATATATATATATATATATATATATATATATATATATATATATATATATATATACATGAATTATTCACACAAAACTAATGCAAAGGTTAATGATTTAAATGGCGAGACATCCATCATCGCAAACAATTCAAATAGTACACAAAAACCTCCAGATCCGTTATGAATGAATTGATCCTTGTTTATATAAATTTCTGCCGTATTAGTTGTTATTTTTTTTTACAAGCTTTCGTCTGTTCCTACAGACATCTTCAGGTATATAATAGATGTTGTTCTTGTTTTTTTCTCTTAGTAATAAGAGGACATCGAAAATATATGTATTGTTGTGTATCCGAAATGCTATTGAAAATGAGTTATTGGTTTTTGAACGCGCCAAAGCAACGCTGAGTTTGATTTTAAATTTTTTTTTTGTGTTTGCGTTTATACCAAATATGGTGATGAACAAATTATTTTACTGGTAAATTTTACTGTCAAAGTGGCATGAACTATATTGTTCAATAATTACAGTAATGTCGCACTTATTATCCAAAAGTCGCACATGGATCAGTTATTTAAATTACAATAAACGTGCAATCAATTTACAAATACATGAATTATTCACACAAAACTATTCAAATTGTTAATCATTAAAATGGCATTAAAATCCAATTTTTGCATTATTTTTTTCGAATAATTCATTTATTTATAAAATTGATTGCACGTTTATTGTACAGATATATATATATATATATATATATATATATATTCTGAAATTCAGTATCATCAATTTTTCCTTCTGAGTCTACGTGCTCGCAACTGTGACTCCTTGTGTTTTCAATTATCTCCCACTCTTACTGCATCAGTGTATCTCTCTCTAACCCCCCGGGCATTCACCGGCAGCAGTACAAGTTTATTTATGGTCGATTCCACTGGTATGAAAAAGGGTTCTCCTTAACAATCAATTTTATCATATCATCATCATCATCATCCATGGACCTTCTTTTCTCATTTTATCCATAAGCAGTGTCTTTCCCCTAAATCCATATATATCAAAACGCGGAATAGTCCATTATTTATGAGGTATCTTCATCATCATCCATGGACCTTCCTATGGTTGGTCGGAATTCCGTGAGACAATTACACACTATTCGGCCCTTTATTGCTATCTATAAATGGCACCATGTGCAACCCTGAGTCCCGAGCTAGGGTGTCTGGGAAAGTCCCATCAAAACGCGGAATAGTCCATTATTGTCATCATCATCATCATTAATGGACCTCACTATGGTTGTTCGGAACTCCATTGACAGCTGATTAGGTTGCAACTGTTGCGGCTGGTGGTGCACCTGGAGACTTGCTGTCATTTTTCTTTCTTTCTTTATTAGCGGTTCTCGTTTTGTATCTATTTCTATGCCAGGCCTACTAATGGGGTACTCATAGTCTAGCGCAGGGGTCACCAAACTTTCTTCACAGAGGGCCAGATAATTGACACAATGACGAGGGCGGACCGGAGAAGCATTCTGTTCAATAAAATACACTGAAAGCACAACAAATAAAGACAACAAACATACTTATTTACTAAAAAGTTACCCAAGAAGACGACATTAACAATAAAATAGTTATATCACACCTAGTCCGCACATATCCGAATCTCACAAACTAAGCATCACAAAAGGTTAGTGAGATTTGTGAAACTGGGGTTAACGTTTTAATTGATATTTGTTTTTTTTATTGCTTCATCCAACCACGAGAAATACTTTCAAATGTTCATCAGTCAACGTCGTTACATGTGCTGACTTAAAATACTTTAGATTTTATAATAGAGTTCAGGCAAAACATATGAAATAATTCACTAAAGTCAGTCCATTTTATGTACGAAACTCTTCAAATCGGTATCTAGCCACCCCGCCAGGAGGGTTTGCATGTGTTAAAGGCCGAGTTTAACGTAGGTTTCCCGAGTTTGTAAAAGGGTCAAAAAATTTCTAGAAAATGTAAAAACAGAATTTCATTGAGTCATGTTTTCCCAAACGAGAATCTTTTCGGCCGAATCTCGTCCGGGTTCCTCTCTGCTCAGAGGCAGAGAGTTCGACCAAAAAATTGTTTGAAGCTCTGCTCGATTCAAATCGGTTTAAACCTGGCAATAAGTTTTCTCATAATGTCTTTATTTTCGTAATCGCTTTTCTTAGAAACTTCATTGCAAGTACTTACACAACAAGCGCTCGGATATCGAAAATTGCAAAAAGTTGCCGAAATTTTTATTTCACTTATTTTCCTACAACTTAAATTACTGTCAGATGCAAATATCAGATTGACCGAATTTTGGCATTTTAAAAGATGAGGACAATAGTCCGAATAATGTAAATAGTGTACATAATACCTCATCTCAAAAATATAGACAGATACTGAAGGGCCGAAACGTTTGTAATAAATATGGCGACAAAGATGAGGACAATAATCCTTAATAAATGTAAATAGTGTACATAATACCTCATCTCAGAAATTTAGCTAGATACTGAAAACCAATGAAACGTTGTAATAAATATGGCGACAAAAGTGAGGACAATAGTCCCAATAATGTAAATGGTGTAATTGTATATGGTACCTCATCTCAGAAATATAGATATATACTGAGAGGCCGTCTTCACGTTGTAATAAATATGGTGACAAAGTTGAGGACAATTCGTCCGAATAATGTAAATAGTGTACATAATACCTCATCTCAGAAATATTGACAGATACTGAAAGGCCGAAACGTTGTAATAAATATGGTGACAAAGATGAGGACAATAACGATTTAATGTAAATTTGTCATAATACCTCATTTGTCAGAAATATAGACAGATACTGAAAGGCCGAAACGTTGTAATAAATTGGTGACAAAGATGAGGGACAATAGTCCGAATAATGTAAATAGTGTACATAATACCTCATCTCAGAAATATAGACAGATACTGAAAAATACAACGTTGTAATAAATATGGCGACAAAGATGAGGACAATAGTCCGAATAATGTAAATAACATCATATTTTTTTCTCATCTCAGAAATATAGACTGATACTGAGTTTCGCCCAGAAATGTTGTAATAAATATGGTGACAAAGATGAGGACAATAGTCCGAATAATGTAAATAGTGTACATAATACTTCATCTCAGAAATATAGACTGATACTGAATTTCATATAAATAATTATATTTTATCTCATTTGTAGCAAATTTGAAGCTGAACAGACATCGAGGGCCGGATCCGGCCCGCGAGCCGTTGTTTGGTGACCCCTCGTCTAGCATATGTGCTGATTCTTTCAGGCGTCTAATTTCATGTTTCGCATTTCTGTAAATTACACCGCACGTCATTTATAAAATTAAAAAAAGGATCCCTTACCCGTTCCCCAAACCCCAAAATGACACACACACACACACACACACACACACACACACACACATACACACGCCATGTCACGTGTCCCGTTACCAGTTAGAATAACTGGTACACCACATGCATTACAGCCGCATCAGTAGTGGTGTGTCTAGGACAGGTGGTGTGCCTAGGACAAATGGTTTGCCTAGAACAAGCCGAATGGAGCCCATGAGACTGGCTTATCCATCTCCTAGACAGGTTGCTAACTTACGACAAAAGACAGGAGACCCTAGTCAGCCCTGCTTTTAAACCCATAGATGCAGGGGGCAGACTTGTTTTCAATTTTTTTTTTTTTTATTCCGAAGCGTGTTTGTGTGGAAGTGAACTTAATGAAAGAATTGGTCTGAATTCGAACTTGACTCGCCGGCTAATCTTTTTAACTCGTCGCTACAATTTCCTTTTTACAAAACGTTTTCGCCAACGACCACCACCACCACCACAAACTCACCTGAAAAATTAAAAAAAAAAAATAAAAATAAAAAGCCGAGGTCCAGATGAAATCAAAACATTCTCACGTATCGATAAAATACTTCTTTTGAATCTAAATCTGTTGTTTTTCAAACTTATTTCCAGTCCGCGGCCTTTTTTTATTCAAAATGTTCCCCATGCCTTTCGATTTTTTCTCGTACATTTATTTTCATTGACCAATCGACATTTGACGCCAGAGCCGCCATTCTCCCGCTGGCCCCTGCCTACTTATGTGTCAACCCCGTATTGACACTTTATAATATTCAGCACGTCACTCTCGCCAATAGCCTCCATTTTTATTGACGTCAAAGTGCATCATCTTAAAGATGTCCTATTGACAGTAGAGGTTGTACGAGGAAATAAAACCTTACCTTTGTCTCCACGAAGTCTATTCTTACGGCACGAGCCAATCAGTCTTTTTCTTTCTTCCTAATTTTCCTCCCTTCGTCATTATTTACGCCATCACGATTTTGGTTATATTTTTTTCCGATTTTAATAGCTTTCTTTCTTTCTTTCTTTCTTTCTTTCTTTCCATTTCCTCACTTACGTTCTTCTCTCTTTCATTTTGATGTCTTTCTTTCTTTCTTTCTTTCTTCCTTTCTTTCTTTGTTCCTTTCTTTCTTTCTTTTCCTTTCCTCCCTCACATTCTTCTCTCTTTGATTTTGGTGTCTTTCTTTCTTTCTTTCTTTCTTTCTTTCTTTCTTTCTTTCTTCTTTCTTTCTTTCTTATCCCCCCCTTAAATTCTTCTCCCTTTCATTTTGGTGTCTTTCTTTCTTTCTTTCTTTCTTTCTTTCTTTCTTTCTTTCGTTCTTTCTTTCTTTCTTATTATACTTGTTCTTGTCACTTCTAAAACTCTGTTGTTCTTTCTTTCTTTCTTTTCTTTTTTTTTTTTTCTTTTTTTTTTTTTCTTTAAACATTCTTCTTTTTTTCAATTTGATGTCTTTCTCTCTTTCTTTCTCTTTCTTTCTTTCTTTCTTTCTTTTTCATTCTTCTTTCCTATTTTAACTTTCCTTCACCTTTTTCGCCTTCTTTTCTTTTTCCTTCCACCTGAACTATTGCTTCTTTCCCCATCACTTTTCCCCACTCTTTTTAGTCTCCTTGATTGTTCATTTTATCCTTTCTCGTCTTTGTCTATGACAAAAAAGAAAAAAGGGAAAAAAAAGTGTCCTTTTTTTCTTCTTCTCTCACTCCCTCTCTTTTTCCATTGCCACTCACTCTTTTTCTCTTTGAATGTTTCCTTTCTTTCTTTCTCTATCAGCCTTTCTCTCCTCCTTTGCCCGCTTCTCTTCACTCCCTCCTCCCTCTTACTAATTCTCTCTTATCTTTCATGCCCACTGTCTACGGCTTAATGAGACGCTGTCTGAATGAGACTATATCACCGTAATGTCTGTCATATTTTACGTGTAGCCATTCAATGATTTTAATCGATCCCGAAAGAGGGGCAAGGTGATGTCGAACAGAGATCAAACTCAGTAAGAATTAGAAAACGTCTCAATTTCCTACACACACACACACACACACACACACACACACACACACACACACACACACACACACACACACAGACAGACAGACGGTAAATGCTTTCGAAAAAAAAAAAACAACCAAAAAAAAACGTTTAAACACATTTCAGTCATATGAGATTTAGGGTGATGAATTCCGAGCAAAGCGTTGGCTTAATATTCATGTATTGTCAACCATTGAGAAAGAACTGAAAAAAAAAACCCCAAAAAAACAACCGAGAGCTCATAAAATATGATCTTGAGCCAAACTTGACTGGATTGTAAAATCATTAGCAGTGAATTTACATTATACATATAATAGCCCTATTTTATCAGTAATGCTTGCATTCATTCCTGACCACTGACAATCCCTTTCTTCCTGATTTTCAATGCATTCCAATAGTAAAATCATTAGCAATGCATTTCCATTATACATATAATAGCCCCGTTCTATCAGTAATGCTTGCCTTCATTCCTGACCATTGACAATCCCTTTCTTCCTCATTTTTAATGCATTCCTATTGTAAAATCATAAGCAATGCATTTCCATTATACATATAATAGTCCTATTCTATCAGTAATGCTTGCATTCATTCCTGACCACTGACAATCCCTTTCTTCCTCATTTTCAATGCATTCCTCTAGTAAAATCATTAGCAATGCATTTCCATTATACATATAATAGCCCTATTCTATCAGTAATGCTTTCATTCATTCCTGACCACTGACAATCCCTTTCTTCCTCATTTTCAATGCATTCCTGTAGTAAAATCATTAGCAATGCATTTCCATTATACATATAATAGCCCTATTCTATCAGTAATGCTTTCATTCATTCCTGACCAATGACAATCCCTTTCTTCCTCATTTTCAATGCATTCCTATAGTAAAATCATTAGCAATGCATTTCCATTATACATATAATAGCCCTATTCTATCAGTAATGCTTGCCTTCATTCCTGACCATTGACAATCCCTTTCTTTCTGATTTTCAATGCATTCCTATATTAAATCATTAGCAATGCATTTCCATTATACATATAATAGCCCTATTCTATCAGTAATGCTTGCATTCATTCCTGACCACTGACAATCCCTTTCTTCCTGATTTTCAATGCATTCCTATAGTAAAATCATTAGTAATGCATTTCCATTATACATATAATAGCCTTATTCTATCAGCAATACTTGTATTCATTCCTGACCACTGACAATCCCCCTCTTCCTGATTTTCAATGCATTCCTATAATAAAATGAGATGCGGTTTTTAATTGTTTACACTATTTGCGTTGTTCGGACTCTTGTTCCCATCTTTGTAAATATTTTCACGACGCTTCGGCAGTTGTACTATCCGGCCATCTTCAGGATCTGTCTATATTTCTGGAATGAGGTATTGTAATTATTTACACTATTTACATTGTTTGGAGTGTTGGCTTCTTCAGGTGATTGAAATTTCGAACCGAACCCTTTATTTCTTCCACCGAGAGCTTATAAAATACGACCTTGAGCCAAACTTGGCTGGATCAAAAATATTGCCAATGCGGGAGCAAAAGCTTTGGCAACTAATATGATGATGAATTTTTATTATTGTAGACTGATTTATTCAAACAGTTATCCTCATCTTCGCTATTTTAGTCACAATGTTTCGGCTATTTCTGAGATGATAATTATCATTATTATCCGTCAGACAGTTATGTCCCATGCGTGATACACGCCAGTTGCCATCCAAGTCTGTCTTACTATTTACCCATAGCTGGGGGGAGAGAAGAGGATTTATAATTTAAGTTAAGATCTTTCATAGGTTAGTCAGTTATGTGCCATGCTTGATACACGCTTAGGCGATCATGT